TATACATACATACATACATACACACACACATATATATATATATATGATTTTCTGAGAATGAAGAGGGATCCAAAGTACTAAAGAATAAAGAGGTTCACTCAAGGGTGGTGTAGGCTGGTGTAAGAGGAAGTGCTCGGAGGAATGGTGCTAATGACAATTTATATATATATATATATATATATATATATATATATATATATATACACACACATACATACACCACAACTTCTAGATCCATTCATATATATATTTATATATATATATGTATATATATATGGCATTTGGGTTGTCAGTATCTTGGTTATTGTACTAGGTGGGGTGATGAACATAGGCATTCATAGATCCTTTCAAATTAAAGGTCTTGTATTTTGTGGATAGATGCCAATAAGTGGTACTGCTGGGTCATATAGTAGTTCTATTCCTATCTCTATATTGCTTTTTATAGAGGCTGAACTAGATGACATTCTAATTTGCAGCAATATGGATGGAACTAGAGGATATCATACTGCGTGAAGTCAGAAAGAAAGGGATAGTCGGTCACAGAATGATCCCACTCATGTGAGACTTAAAAGATACCCAGCAAGAGGGCAACAGAGGGCCAAAGGGAACACCAGGAGAGAAGTGATCCACACAGCTGAGTTAGTTGAGGGGTGGGGCGTTGAAAGGGAGAGGTGTTGGGATGTCTTGGGGAGGGAGGTGCGTACACTGCTAACACATGTGGTGTTGAACTTATATGCATGGGCAACTATTATCAACAGTATTGCAAAACACAGAATCTCAATAAAAAACATTTAAGGTAAATAAGTCAGATCATGGATTCAATTCCCATTCAGCTTCTTACCAGCTCCAGATCCTTGGGAAACCAGTGCTTTATGCATCAGTTTCCTCACCTGCACAAGACAAAAGCACAAGTCCCCTGGCTCAGAAGATAGTCAAGCATATCTTACAGAGTCGCCACGTGAAGTTCCTGGTAGAGGCCCCAGGCAGGCAGCCTGTACCCCCACAATATTAGGTACTATGTTCATCACAGTTCCCCACACAGATTTCTACTGCAGCACTTTATTTTACCTTATTGTATTTATTTATTTATTTATTTATTTATCTATTTTATCATCTATGAGGCCATGATCTCCTTGAGGTTGGCAGAGATCTGGCACACAGATGGTATCTGGGTACTTGGGAAATGAATTCTGGATGAACATGTGCCAAGGACCTGGTGGGAACCAATGGGGCTCCCCACCTCACCCCACCCCTTTCCAGCCAGAGCTCCCTGATTTGATGCTCCAAGGCCTCTCAAACCACATCCTGCTTCTAACTCCTCCTCTAGAACTTTCACTCCCTCATCAGGAAACATTTATCTAGGGGAGCTGTTCCCCCCCCCCCCCCCCAGCCTTAGGAAACACTCCTCTAAAGAGCCTGGGCGGTGTGTGTTGTAAATGTCCTTCCCATTCTCTGGGAGGACCCCTCTGGCTGTTCCCCAGCCTCAGAGCAGGGGAAATCCCCTGTAGATGCCACTCAATTGGCCCAGCCGGTGACTTCCAGCTGCCTCTCCCCAGGGCCCCGGAGAGTTCGCTTGACACTCTTAGCCTTGGACACCTCTTGCCTTGATTGGCTGGAAGGTGACAGGAGGGATAAACAAACAATCTGACAACCCAAATCAAACAGCAACAACTGTTCTCTTGACACTTCAAAAGCATCAGGTCACCGAAAACCCCTCCCAATGTATTGTCAAGAGACCATGGGGGTTCAGGGCACCGTCTGCATCTGAAGCTTAGACCGGGGATCCAGCTCCTTCTTCCAATTACCGGCGCTGCCTGGGTCAGCCCTGCACACGCACCCAGAGTCCAGGCCTCCCCCAGGCTTCCTGGGTCTCAGGGGAGCGAGGGAACATGTTTTGACGGAGCCAGATGACTATAATTGCTAGCGTTCTGTTGTGGCTTCAATTTGTGACACACCAGACATTGCATATTGAAATTTCTCATGTCTGGAGTAATTTATATCTCTCTTCCTCTCCCCTCCACACCATTCCAAAGAAGCGTGCATGGATTTTTAAAGTGATTTTGTTGATTTCGAAGACCCTAGAATTCAGATGTGTTCACATGCTTCTCTGAACTCTCTTTCTGATACAGGCAATGGTTTCTAAAGCTTCTCATTAACTCTGTTGAAATCGCATTTTCTCACGACCTTTTCAGGCTTGAGGCAAAGGCCAGTTACCTCCCCAAAAGGGCAAGTTTGCAGGCTTTAAAGCTATTTTGTCAAACTCTGCTCTGATGTCTTACACATAACGGATGGCAGGAGTATTCCTAGGTCTTGTCAATGAAACCTGGCTCTATCTTGGGGCCCTGAGTTGGAGATTCTGCTCAAACAGGCTGGGCCGAATAACCAGAGTGACTTTCAGGAGATGCTACAGTCATATAGGGCTTCCATGCCACCTTTTCTCCCTGAAACTCAGTTGCCCTCCATGGCCTTCCATGAGCCATGTCAGCACACCTCACTGGAGCCACAGCTGCCACACTGCAGGGGCCTGGGCCCCACCAAGAGGGTATCTTCAGGAATCTCTACCATGAAGGCCCAGCCTGCCACCAGGAAGAGAGTGGGCTCCATAAAGGTGTCTTAAATTAGAAAGAATGAATGATTGAGTAAGAGAACAAAAGAAGGAGAAATGAAAGCAGAAAAGGTCTCTGTACCAGGATGCAAAACTCATGGAAATAAAGGGGTGTTCAAGAGACTAGGAGCCAGAGAGCAGAGTCCCAGATCATGCTGGTCTAAATGGCCCCATACACACAGAATGGTCACAGAATAGACGCCCAATAAATTGAGATACTAGACAGTAATTGGGTCCTTTCAGCCTCAGTTCCTTACACAGATTTTTTTTTCATGACTCTCTAAGGAGTAGGTACTATTTTTGGCAAAGTATGTGGAGGAGCAGTGTCAGATGTGAAGGCAAGAAAGATGTTATCCAATAACTATCAAAACCCACCCTCTCACAAATAAGCCAGTTAAGTTTTGCAGTGAAGACCCCAAACTTGATGTCTAACTTCCAGGGCTCAAGCCCTGGTTTTGACCCTTTTGTGTCAGGTTGAGTAACTGACTTCACCTAGGCTTTCTAAAATGCCTGCTTATAAGAGCAGGGAGGTGCCACTGCTGTGGACCCATGAGCCAGTGAAACGAGGACATAAACGTTCATCATAGCATGCAGACTGCATTCCTCAGGAGCAGTGCTTGCCTTTCACAGATCCCAAAGAAGCTCAGTTGCTGGGGAAAGGGTTGGTGCCTTCTACCACTGTGCAGGGAAGACCTCTTGAGTCAGCAACTAAAATCAGATGACTGTAGGACTTGGGGACAGTGGGCCTGGCCAGCTTTTCCAGGTGACAATAACATGTGTTAGAGAGGGAGAAGAAACTATCATTTTTCACTCTGTGTTGAATGCAGCTAGAAAATCCAATGGAGAAAATCTCACCAGAGTATCACTGACCACATCTTTTACTTGTTTGTTTGATTTGGGCCACATGCATTGGTGCACAGGGCTTACTCCCGGTTCTGTGCTCAGAGATCACTCTGCTAGGGCTTGAGATACCATATTTGGGTGCTGGGGATTGAACCCAAGTCAGCTCTGTGAAAGGCAACAGCCCTACCCCTTGTACTATCTCTCCAGTCCCAGTGACTGTTTTAACAGATTCTGGAGTCCCAGGCTCTTATCTGGGGTGGGGTGAGCTGAGAACATACCCTCTGGTGAGCAGAGCATCTTCACTGACTGATATTAGATGCCTCAGTCTCTGGAGAGATGGAAAACCCAGACTTGAGTCTTCGGTGATGACTCTGTTTTGTGCTTTCATCATCTCACCTAGATACTTCTAGCAACCACAAAACTTCTATTGACCACTTTACATGCAGATTTCTATCATTATAGGAGTGAGCTGAGTTCTTTTGTTTTGTTTTATAGCAGGTGCCATGACTCTAGTCTTTGAGTCTCTAGGGTCTAGCTTGATGCCTGGCACATTGCAATAAATGTCAAATTTACAAACATTTCCCCAGATCATTCTTTGTTCACATAAGAGAAAATCAGGCCAAAACACTTAAGAACTCCAATCCACGTGGTAATTAATGGTGGTACCCCTTGCATTTTGGGGGTTGTTTTTGTGGGCACTGTGCACCACTGAGGAGTACCCCAACCATGCCAGACTGCACCTGGGGCATTACAAGTATGAAACAAAATTTGCAAGTCTGCGCAGCACTGTAGGATAAAGAAATAGCCTGAGCTTTATGATGCAGCAGGGAAGAAACCAATGCTGCTATATTGAAGGAACTCAGAGACTCGGAGGAAAAGAACTGTGGGATGACACCCTGTCTTCTCCATTTGCAGAGGACAAAACTCACTTTAGGAAGCAAACCACAGTCTCTGCTGACAGCAGCAAAAACTGAGTGAGACGTGCATCCCTGTTAGATCAAGTACAGAGGCTTACATGCAATTTGTTGGCAGAGAAAGAACCCAAAACTAAAATTATGTTCAAACTCGAAGTTGTTACCTGCTAGGCAGGGCCGCATAAACAGGGATATATACAGGGAGCTCTATGAACCCTGGCAATGGGCAACCCACTTCCTCTCTGCTGGGGGCACTGCTTCTCTTCTAGAGTGATGGTGGCTTAGGTGGAGACGGGGAAGCCATGAACACAAGAACACATTAGAAACCTGAGATATCTGAAGGAAATGATGCCAAAGTATTTTACAGGACAAACATTGTTAGCCTTTCAATAATTAATTCGGAGCTTCAGATAAACATAAAGAGGAAGCCCGACCCAAATCACGTCTTGAGTAGAGGTTTGGCGAATTGAATCATATTCTCTATATAACACACCCTTCCACACCCACACACACCCAACACTGCTAGAGATACCTCATGTGCCATGTAAATTATTTTAAGATCCTTAGTTCACAACACACAGATTCTCTAAAGTACTTCTCAGCATCACTGGGAAATATGTTCGTCCCATTCACCTTACCCTGAGGTAGTTGAGGGTGAAATTTGTCAGCCCCATCCTGGTGATGTTTTTGGAAAGCTGATCCAGGACCTGAGGATCTTGTGCCTAAACAGGAAAAAAAATAATAATAGATTTTATACCTGTGTGGTGATCCCAGGAAGATCTTAGACTATGCTACATTTGCAGGGAAATGGAATCCTGCCTTCTTCTTTGGTATTTGAGCCTGCATAAGGGGATGAGTATTATGGGCTGGCAGGATACATTTAAGAAAGATGCTATTGAGATATGACATCTTTGTTTGATCCAAGGTCTCAGAAGCATTTTAAGATGATTATTGACAAGTCAGGTGAAGACCTCTAACTCAAATCTAGGTCTTGCCTTTAGTTTTCAGTGTGACAGTGCTGTTTTTCTCCATTTTTTTAATTAAATAATTGTGATTTACAAAGTTCCTGATAGTTATTTTAGATGTACAATGTTTCAGCACCAATTCTGCCACCAGTGTCAATTTCACATTATCAGTATTTCCCGGTTAACCCCCCCTCCCCCACCACCACCAACCATAGATGTTGCCCCCCTCGAGTGGCATGTTTCCCTACTGAATACCAGTTCTCATGTTCTTTGCCTGGAGTTGAAGATTTGAAAACTCTGGTAATAATTCTCATTTCCCACCCACTAAGCTCAGGCCAGAAACCAACAGCGTCAGCAGTGTTCCTCCAGCAGGAGAGTTAAGGGCAGGCATTACATTTTCCAAAATATCAACTATGTTGAAAGGAGACGTATAACCTTTCAGGAACCACCCACATACTGGGTTTGGGCACTGTAGCACTGTAGCACTGTCCTCCGGTTGTTCATAGATTTGCTCGAGTGGGCCCAGTAATGTCTCCATTGTGAGACTTGTTGTTACTGTGTTTTGCATATCAAATTCATCATAGGTAGCTTGCCAGGCTTTGCTGTGTGGGCGAGATATTCTTGGTAACTTGCCAGGCTCTCCAAGAGGGGCAGAGAAATCGAACCAGGGTCTGCCGGGTCGACCACATGCAAGGCAAACGCCCTACCAGCTGGGCTATCACTCCAGCCCCATAGCTCGTGATCATATAGTGGATTTGGGCAAAAAAAAAAAATTCTTTCTAGATTCCATTTTAAGATGAGTCTCTTGGTGGATGCTTTCTCTTTTTTAACTGGCTTCTATTTCTTAATTGATATAAGTAAATTGGTGCTAAACAGAAGAACACTTAAGTAAATATCCTTTGGTTTGCATGACTGCATTCCCGAGACAATCTTGGTTATACAACACCTCTTTCTTTTCTGTCTTAATGGTCCGCACAGTGATAGGTCATTGACTTTGTTTTATATAAATAAAAATAAAATGTAGAAAAAATGCCAGCACTTCATGTGCAGCAGTTAGATTTTCAGATAGCTCTTTGGTCTGCTTGAGAGATGAAGTAGTCAGAGACAACTTCAGGGGATTTACCATGCAGCAGGAGGCAGGACAACAACAAAAAATGCAGAGAAGCTGTTACTAATGATGACAACAATCAGTCAACTGCCAACACTTGCAAAGGACCCACTGTGTGCCAGGCTCTGTTCTACATTATTTAAGCATAGGAATATTCATTTTTATTTCTTCATGAAAATACAATTTTAGTTATTTCAAGTGATCAAGTTATTTCTTTATCTGGTTTTGGGACCACACCCCGCTGTGCTCAGGGTATGATCCTGGCTCTCTGTCCAGGGATCACTCCTCGTGGTGCTTGGGGTAATCATATGTGGCTCCAGGCATCAAACTGTGCTGGGCCACATTCAAGATAAGTGCTTAACCTCTATACTCTCTCTGAACTCGTGGGTATGAATATTTAATCCTCAAAACAATGCTCAAAGGAAGACTCTGTAGCTTTTTGCGTTTTATAGAAGAGGGATTGATAGGAAACAGATAGATGTTGTGTCACTCACTTCCTAAGGTGACAAAGGAGTAAGGGTGCATACCTATGGGATATAATTCTAAACTTCTAACCACTCCCTTCAGCTACCCTCACTTTATTTTGAGAATGGTAAGAAGGGGATCCTACAAACTCCTTCGAGGAGGGTGGAAAAAGGGACCTTAGCAATCAAGAACTTAATTTTTAAGCCAAAGAACTAAAAAATTGAAATGGTGGGGAGGGATTATAGGAAAGAGAGTGGAAACATTCTTCCACCCTTAGTTGGAAGTATAAGGCCAGTGTGAAGACCAGAGGTTTCGTCGATCAGCTGGGAGAAGATCAAAGAAAGAAGCCTGGGACACAGACTGGAGATATACAGTAAGGAGAGACGTGATTTAGCAGTCAGGAATTTTAGAGTCAGAAACAGTCAAACAGTAATCCTAATTTTGACTTTTTGAGGTAAAAGGAAAACACTGGGCAATATACTGGCTATTCTGAATCCTCAGTTTCCTGACTTCTAATGTAGGAATAATAAAAATTCACTTTTCTGAGTTACTGAGAGGAGTGAATAAAATGTGAATAAAATGTCTAGCATAGAAAACACT